AACGTTTGGGAGTCAGTTCTCTCTTCCTACCATTGGATCCCAGGGATGAAAGCCAGGACATCAGGCTTGGCAGCAAGCCCCCAGGCCCACGAGCCACCTCGCAGGTCCTGTGCTGCACTTTTTTATCCTTTAGTTCCTCTCCTGCTGTTTGCTCACCAGTTTGTTACTTGTTATTACTGTTATTACTGGTTTGAATCCCACCTCTGCCATCTGCTGGCGCCTGTTCTTGGCCACGTTTCCTTGTCTCTCTGTGCTTCTGCTTCTAACGTGTAAATAGGGGCTGTTCAGGGAAACCTTGTCATTGGGATGCTGGGAGGACTAAATGAGTCAACTCTGCCTGGCACATAAGGACTTTGTGTGTGTGGGTGTGTGGGTTCTTGATTTTGTGTGAGTGTGACAGGGTCTCACTGTGTAACTTGGACTGGCCTAGAACTCACTATGTAGTTCAGGCTGGCCTTGAACTCAGAGATCCACCTGCCTCTGCCTCCTGAGTGCTGGGATTAAAGACGTGCACCACCATGGCTGGCTCTGGTTTTTAAATACTGGCTTAGCTGCTGCTATATGATAGCTCAAAGCACCTAGAGATGAGTAAGGTATGACATCAGCTCTTCAAATACCCACCATCCAGTAGGAATAGCACAGAATGAATAATTCCAGAATAGACAGTGTACATGACTATGTTAGTGGGAGGGTACACGCACTACAGGAGAAGGGAAAATTTGCTCGTTAGAGCAATTATGGAAGGCTTCACAGGACAGATTTTTCACAGATTTTCTTTCTTTCTTTCTTTCTTTCTTTTTTTTTCTCTTGGTCTTTTTGAGACAGGGTTTCTTTGTGTTGTGCTGGCTGTCCTGGAACTCAATCTGTAGGCCAGGCTGGCCTTCAACTCAGAGATTCACTTGCCTTTCTTTGCTGGCATTTAAGGCCTGTGCCACCGTATACAAGATGCCGAAGGATGGAGAAGAGTATGAGACCTCTGGGGAAGCAGGTCAAGGAAATCTCAAGCAAAAGGAACTACATTAGTAGAGTGTGGAGACAGGGAAGAGTTCAGTGTGTCTAGGGAACAGTGAGTGGGGCATTCTGGCTGAAGCTTCAAACATATGGCCTGAGGGATGGTGATGCTGAGTGAGAGGTTGAGTGACAGGTGAGAAGGAACGTAACAGAGCTATTTACCCAGGCATTCCTGACTTACCCAGATACTTAGAGAAAATGCTCTGTTATTTTCCAGGCTAGAAAAAGAAATGACAGAATCCTAGGAATTTCCATCAGGAGGACTCTTTCATATATATACAAAATTAGTGTATGCACACATATATGTATGTAGGTACATGTATGTGCACCCGTGTGTGTATGCATGGGGTGATCAGGGGCCAATCTCAGCTGTTGTTCCTCAGGTGAGTCTTCAATCTTGGTTTTATTATTTTTTAGTTGTTTTTAATTTTGAAATTATGTGTAAATGTGTATTGGGGGGGGATGTTCGTGTAAGGGTAAGTGCCTGTGGGAGCCAGAAGAGGTGGTTGGGTCCCCTGGAGCTGGACTTAAAGAATTGTGAGCCACCCAACAAAGTGAGTGCTAGAAACCAAAATCAGGACCCCTAAAGGCTGGAGACATAGTATATGTTCTTAACTGCTGGGCTATCTCTCCAGCCTCCAGCTTTGTTTTTTGAGACTGTCTCTTACTGGCCTGAAGTACACTTGCTGGAATATGCTGACTGAGTAGCTAGCCTCAGGGATCTGCCTATCTCCACTCCTCTGGTGCTAGCATTACAAGTGGACATCACCACACTCATGTCACCTACTGAGCTGTCTCCCAGGCCCCCTTTCTTTCCTCCACTATGGAAATACTTGTGCTGACTCTATTCCAATCCCTCCTCATGGGGAAGAGATGAGAGCTTCTTCTGGCTCTATGCTAACTGGCTGACCAGACACCCTGCAGGTGACACCTGTCACAATTTTAGGAAATTTTCTAAATGTCACCATTTTCATCTGCTTTCTGTTGCTTACTGTAAATTAAAGGCCATATTGGGAACAAAACAGGGCAGGCTCTGAAGCCAGGATTGTGAGCTCCAAGGTGGCAGGGTCAGAGTTATACCCTTGCCTGGAAACAGCTCATTCTGAGTATTTTGATAATTACATGGAATAATGAGCCAGGAAGCCTTATACAAAGGCAAACTCGATATATATTTCATTATTGTTTGTTTTGTATAGCCCAAGCTGGCCTTGAACTCCCGCTATGGAATGGAGGATGACCTTGAACTCCTGATGTTCCTGCCTCTGTCTCATGAATGTTGGGATTGTAAGAGCGTGCCACCACACTCACTCCTAAATTTCATTATTGTTGTTTCAAAGGAAATACAAAGAGAAGGTAGTAGTGCCTCCCACCTGCTGAGAATGTGTTGAGCCCATTCAACAGCTTCCTTTTCATCCTATAGATGAAGGTATTGAGCCAGGGCAGGGAACCCATTTCCCTGGAGTGAAATTTCAAGTACATAAAATAAAAATAAAACTTAAAATTCAAAATTGGATAGCACTATTGATTTTTGTCTATGGTGATGGTGTCCTAGACTAAGTCACATCATGGCAAGTGATGTCATAGTGTGGGACAGAGAGATTACAGGACAAGACAGAAAGTTCAAGAGACCAGGCAGTGGGCCTTGCTATTTTATCAATAACTTTTTCAAGAGCATTGTCTTAGTTTCTATTGCTGTGAAGAGACACCATGATCACAGCAACTCTTATAAAGGAAAACATTTCATTGGGACTGGCTTGCAGCTTCAGAGGTTTCCTTCATTATCATCATGGCAAGAAGCATGGCAGCAGGCAGGCAGACATGGTGCTGGAGAAGGAGCTAAGAGTCCTAATCTTGATCCCCAGGCAGCAGCAGGAGACTGTGTGCCACACTGGGTATAGCCTGAGCAAATACAACTCAAAGCCTGTCCCCACAGTGACAGGCTTCCTGCAAACTCCACCACATGAACCTTTGGGGTCGCACACTAAACCATATCCAAGCTCTAGCAGCCTCCTCAGGTTCCTTTGCATCGCCAGCCCCATGGGAACTATGCTTCTGGCCTCTAAAGGCAGAGAATAGTTTTGCTGTTTGTGAACATCCTATAAATGGAATCTAACAGCCATGTGTTCTTTGGTGTCTGGCCTTTTACAAAACTTTATGTTTGTGTAATCCCTCATCACTCATTGGTGGGGGATTTTGTTTGTTTCTTCTCTTTGCTACACAGTACTTCACAGTGTGGCAGGGTACCACAGTGTCTTTGCACACACAGCTGTTGATGAGCTTTTGAGGTCTGCAGTTCGGAGCTGCAGTCAGCATTCTAATCTTATTTCTTGGTGCATGTGTGGACTTGTTTGTTGTTGTTGAAGGGTTTTAAACAAGATTTCATTCCAAGGTCATTTCAGTTTGTGTAGCAGCCCCTTGGAGTTATACCAGAAGTGAACCAGCAGATAATTTTATCTTTGACTCCTCCAACAGAAGCTCTGTTAAATCTGCATAAATCCCCAGTCCCTCCTAAAACAGTAACCTCATCATTCACCAGGCCTATATGTTTTCATAGAAAATGGACTCAGTGCACAACTACCTTCAACTCTGGTTCTGGCCTCCTGAACACCTGCTTACATACATCCAGCCACACACATACACATGGGATAATTTTTAAAATTGAAAAGAAAAGTAAAAGGAGTTCAGTCTTGCCAAAGCTGCAAACAGCCATGAAGGTTAGCTAAGTGGGAAATGGCACCAAACACCTATGTTCATAATGCCCATTCTTTCTCTTTCAGGTCCTGAAAATGATAGTGCCCCCTATAGGTGAAGGTGAAGTTGCAGCCTCCCTTTGGTCTTCGAGACAAGCTTGTCTATCTGCTCTCCACAAAGATGCACAGTCCTAGCCTCTACTGGGAAGTCAGTACCCACAGACAGCTCTCAGACAACCCAGCCTTCCCTATTGGCTCTCCTGGGGGATTCTCAACTTCTCTGCTACACCCCAGATGCTCCCTGAGGCCTAGTCAGGTGCCTTTCCAGCCCGATGTTCTGGTTACTGTGTCCAGAACACTTGTTCACAGTCCCTCCCTGCTGCACGCACCACCCAGCCCCTTCTAATACCCGCCCTGTCTCCCTGCCAGACTGCGCGGGCAGGGAAAGGACCTGTCCCTTGTTCCGGGAGGATGGAAGATCGCCCACGCCTGGCACTGTGCCGAGAGCCTGGGTGAGGGCGTCATAAATATCTCCTGAATGATTCATTCATTCCTCTGGAAGAGAAAGTATGACCCTTAAGAGGTTAAAAAAAAAAGGCTTTGAGTCAGATGTCATGGTATGCGCCTTTAATTGCAGCACTTGTGAGGCTGAGGCAGGTGGATTTCTATGAGTTCGAGGCCAGCCTGGTCTACGTCATGAATCTCAGAACAGCCAGGGCAATATAGGGAAACCTCAGAGAGATCCTGTCGAAAGAAGGAAGAAAGGAAGGGAGGGAGAAAAGGAGGAATGGAAAAAAGGAGGGAGGAAGGAAGAGATATGACTTTTAAATCACAAAGATTCGGGTTCAAGTTTTCACTCTGATATTCGGCACTGTAGCCAGCCTTGCTATCCACCCTGGGCTTTATTTAAAAAAAAAAAAAAAAAAATGGAGTGGCTACAGAGAAGGTCACTGCAGAGTTTACAAGAGATGATGTTGGTAAGCGACCTGGACTGGTATAGCCTAGAATCACAACTCAATCATGAAAGGGAGTATTAGCCTTTCGGGGAAGGGGACACTGCTGGCTGCGCTGCCCGCGGGTCTGCTTTCTTTGGGCTCCGTTTTACAGAAAAAGAGACTGAGGCCTAGAAGGAGAACAATATAAAGGGGGCGGGGCGCCCCTGGTGGGCACACGGCTCTCCCCATCACACGCCCACCAGCCGCGATTGCGAGGTTGGGGTTGACCACCCGCAGGACCTCCCGTGCTTGGGTATCTCAGACTCAGATCACGGCAGCGCCGCTCTGCTCCCTGGAGTTGTCACTTTAAATTCAAGAAGGAGCGGGCGGGCGGGCGGGCGAGCGCGAGGGAGCGCGCGGCGGGCTCCTGGGAGCGTGCCCGGACTGCGGCGCTGCTCTATTTGGCCGCCGGGCCCCGCGGAGCCCCCGATCCGTGAGGCGCGGCTCCGGCGCAAGGCGAGTGCCTGCGACACTGCAGGGGTGGCGTAGCGGCTGGCGGTCCGGCGCCTGTGCTAGTTAACGGCGGGAGGCCGGCACTGGAGCAGTCGAACAGAGGCAGAGCCGGGAGTCGGACCCTCGGCCCCACGGAGGAACCCGGGGTGAGTACGCACCCCGGCCCACCCCCCCAAAGCGCGCCAGGCACACGCGCCCTGGGCACGAACGGACGCACGCAGTCCCTCTTCTTGCGCCCGGCACCCAGGGCCCCTCACACTCCGTGCGTCTGCACCCCTGCGCCGCGCTGGTACACCAACGCGGGACACAGCACGCTGGGCGCCCTTTCCCTGGCCCAGCCACTCCGCGCACTGCGCATCGCCTAGCGCCGGCTCGTCCGGCCCCCGTGTGCACACAAGCTGTTCACCCCGCTGTTTACACGCTTCCCCTGAGCCTGCACACCGCACACACCCCTCACTTTCCCACTTAGCACCCTGACTGCCCTAACTGCCTGTGCCCCGACCTTATATCTCTTTTTTGGGGGTCCCTGATCAGTTGGGGTCCCCCAACTTCCAACCCCAGATATCCTGAGGGATGTGAGGATCTGCAAGAACTGTCAAGAACTGTCATCATCGTAGGGGGCATGTTGCATCTCAACTCCAGGAGGCCTGGGAAGGAAGGCTGCGGGAAGAACCTAGGGGGACCTTCTGCTTTCTTGAGGCTGTATGTTTACTGGGGCTGAACACGGGGGGGGGGGGGGGAAGAGGCGCAAGCTGTACTGTAGGTGAAGGGACCCTGAGCCTGTCTCTTTGGTGGCCATGGAGCTGCCAAGTGACTGTGTCTTCCCTTATAGTGGGCAAGTCCACATCTCACATCCTAGGAAAGAACCTGGGAAACTTGCATCTGGATTCAGGGTGCCTGGTTTGAAGAGCTGCAGCAGTAGTCCCTCTTATTAGAAACGAGGGAAGGAAATCAAAGGTTCTACAAGGGAAGGAGACCCACCTAGGTGTTAATACAACCCACCCAGTAAGGCCAGGACAGCAACAGTTACCTCCCAGCCCCCAACCCACTCCTGTCTCCCACCCTCACAGTGCAATCTGAAATCTTTCTCAAGCAGCACAGAAAAGTAGGAGCTCCCATCCTGGGGTCCACACCTGGCCTCAGCCTAAGTGCTTGCCAGTGGCTCTGGACAAGTCACTTACCGCACTTAGCAAAGCTGGAACCTCAGCTGCTGGGCCACCCCTCCCCACCATTTCCAGGGCTGCAGGGAAATTTTCCTGAGTTCACACAAGGCAAGTCCTTGGTGATGCTGGCACACAGTAGGTGCCCAATGTCAGCTGCAACCCTCCCCCAGCCAGTCTGTACTGTGGTTTCTGCGTGGTGTCAGAGGGATGGCACCAGGATGTGGTTATCTCAGAATGTGTTGTGGGGGAGGGAAGCACTTTCACACTTGCAAAGGTTTTCAAACCTAAAGGTCCCTCAAGAAACTCTCAGCCTGGAAGGTGGAGGCTCCCCCATAGGCCCCTCCTACCCTTTTGTTGTTGTTGTTTGTTTGTTTGTTTGTTGTTGTTTTGTTTTTCAAGACATGGTTTCCCTATATAAAACAGCTTTGACTGTCCTGGAACTCATTCTGTAGACCAGGCTGGCCTTGAATTCACAGAGATCTGCCTGCCTCTGCCTCCTGAGTGCTGGGATAAAAGGTGTGTGCACCACCACCTGGCCCTGATTCCTTATTACCTGCTGGTATCAAGGTAGAGATAAAGGGAGCCACCGCAGTGCTGGTCATGTAGTGAGGACAAGGAGCAAGGAGAAGTGTAGAACAGAGACATGCTCAGCTCAGCGCAGGGGCTCTGGTTCTACACAGAATTCCTGGAAAGCCATTTCTCTGACGAGCTGGGGAGGGAGCCTCTGCCATGATCAGATTCCAACACAGTAGGATGTGGGTTCTTCCCAACCATCACACTGACCTGCAAGGCCTGGTCATCAGTCAGCACAGGGCTCAGTGTCTAGGCTCAGAGCCTTCACTGGTATGGAGCCCAGAGTTTATATGTCGGGATGTGTGTGGGCCCCATCTTTCTCATTTGTGAAATGGGGATCCAGTAATGTATTCAGTCACCAGGTCTGGTAGGCACCAGTTATGCACTAGGCTTGGTTAGTTAGGTACTTGGCCCACAGTGTTGCGAAGGGTTGAGGAGGGTACTATTAAGCAGAACTGTGAAGCAGGGGTGGTTCTCACTGAACACTGCTCCATGCAGTGGAGACTGGGACTGACAGTGGGCTGCTGGATAGGGAGGGATGCTCAAGGAGGAAGATGCACATCTTAGCTCAGATGAGGGCCTGGAGCAACCCCAGCTGGCCCCTGCTGTGTATCAAAAGTGCCAGCTCTGGCCACTGGCTGCCCTGGCCTTCAAATGCCTTATCAGCATCCTAGCTCTAGCCAAAGCTGCAACCTCTAGGCTATTGCCTGAGATAAGATGGGTTTCTCGGGTTGTAACTAAAGCCATTAAGAAGGGCACTTGCTGCAGAGGCAGACCTGGGAAGTTTTCAACTCCCTATGCAGTGGCTGGACAATGTTGGACCCATTTACTACTTTCTCTGAGCCTCTCTATCCTCCTCCACCAAGTGGGGATTATAACAGGATTTGCCCAGGTATTTGGGGGGCAGGGAAGGAAGTTCTGGGTAGGGTGTGTAGCTGCTGAAGCAGAAGCCCTAGACAGGCACCCACACTGCTGGCTTTGGGCAAATCATTTAACCTCTCTGAGTTCATTCCAAGTCTAGTTTATAAATAAGGATATTTCTAGAAGGTTGCAGGTTCTGAAAGTGAATGGTGGGATGGGAGGGGCAACCCAGGACCTCACACATAGACAAGCACTTTACCACTGTTCAAGGGAAGCAGGAAACAACTCTTCCCTTTTCCTCCTCTCTTCCAGCACCAGAGATAGAACCCAGGACCTCACACATAGACAAGCACCTTACCACTGACTTATACAACTACCACCACCCCGTCTTTTTCTGAATGAGAACTTCTTAGTTAAAACAAAACAAAAAAACCCAAACATATTTTCAAACTGGTTGGTGGTGGTGCATGCTTTTAATCCATAGCACTCTAAGAGATAGAGGCATGGTGAGTTCTGAGTTTGAGGCCAGGATGGTCTACAAAGTAAGTTCCAAGACAGTCGGGGCTATATATTGAGACCCTATCTTAAAAAAATAAACATATATATATATGAGATAGCTCAGTTATTAAGATCTTTAATGTCCAGCACCCACTTAAAAAGCAAACACTAGGGAGGCAGAGCAGGCAATTCCTGTGACTGACTTTTCGACAGTCTAGCCTAATCCTCAAACCCCAGGCCAGTAAGAGACCCTGTCTCAAAATACTAGTTAGACAGCTCCCAAGAAAGGAAACCGGAGGTTGACCTCTGATTCCACACTTAGCACACACATATTCCCATCTGTACACAATCATGTACATATACATACAAAATAGAATCCAAGGGCTGGAGAGATGGCTCAGAGGTTAAGAGCATCGGCTGCTCTTCCAGAAGATCTGGCTTCAATTTGTAGCACCCACATGGTGGCTCACAACTCCAATTCCTGGGCATCTGAGGCCCCCTTTTGGCCTCTGTGGGTACCAGGCACACACTCAGTACACAGACATGCACAAAAACAAAACATACACACCACACAAACACAGTATACAATTAATTTTCATTTAAACAATCAAAACACATCAGCAGATTGACAGTGCTGCTCCTATGATTGTTCTGCACAGACTGGGAGCCGGGGGCTCTCTCTGCACTTTGGCCAGGCCAATAACCACAGCAGTTAATATTTGCTGAGCCTCTCATTCTACCCTCCTGTCATCCTCACAGAGAAGCCATGATCTTGATCTTCCTGCCTCTGCCTCTTGAGTGCTAGGACTACAGGTGTATACTACCACACCCAGTTTTACTCAGTGCTAGGAAACCAAACCTAGGTGTTCTTGCATGCTAAGCAAGCACTCTACCAACAGATTTACATTCCAAGACCAGTCATGAGCCCCTTTTATAGATGGTACTACTGAGACTCAGAGAGAGAGAGAGAGAGAGAGAGAGAGAGACAGAGAGAGAGGGGGGGAGACTAGGAAAATTGTCGAAAGCCATGAGTCAGTGAAGGGGCTAATCTGAAATCAGAACTGACTACAAACCTGGGGTTTAAGCTGATCCCCTGCAGGATCTTGCACATCTTCCTATTTCTTCCTCCCTTCCTCCCTTCAAGCTCTTTGTAGCATGGCACAGCTGGAAGCTGCATCTGGGGGTGTGCTGAGCAGTCATTTATGCCTTCCCAGACATCATATTTCCCATGGCAAAATAAGGGAAGTAGATGTTATGGTTGTGGAGTCTGAGTTAGACATAAGCACTGGTTGTCCTCTAACCCCCCACACATATACACACACATACTAAAAGCCAGAGGCTTGATACCTTCTGAGTTCCGCTGGTACAAGACATGCTGTAGCATGTGTCATGTTCCTTTTTGTTGACAGCCTGTACCAGATGTGCCACAAAGGCGCTATCAGAATCTCAGCCAGTCTGGGCAGATGGGCAGACTGTGTATATTCATACACTGTGTTTGGTGTGGGCATAGCCTCTTCTGCTGGGGGCTAGGACAGCCCCAGATTTGTACAGCAAGCCTTTTGGAACCTACAGTTCTTAGACAACTTTTTTGGAAAACCTATGCCTATCCAGTAAGACACAGTAGTTAGGAGCACAGGGCCAGACAGCCTTCTTAGCTAAGTAGCACATTAACTCCACAGCACTCTGCTTACAGACCAGACAAGATTCTGATGCCCTTGCTAAGAGGGTTAAAGGATGTCATATATGCATAGGTGTTTAGAACTGTGTTTGGTGCTTAGATATGCCCAGGGAGGTTGACTATTATCATTATCTTAAGCCTGGGGCTCACTCAAGCCAAGATGGGTGAAACCTTCTTGTCTTAGCACTGCCTCCCATCACCATGACAACCCTTATCTCATCAACTTGGGAGCAACATCAGGAAACCAGAAGCCAGCTGAAACCCACATCTGCCCTGTATCACAAGACCAAAAACCTAGACCCTATGTGCACAGGACCAACTTCTTGACTCCAAAGCCACAGGCTGGAGAGAACCCACACACACAAAATGCCTAAAGTCTTAGTTTCACTCTTTCACTGAACCCTGATTGAAGAGAAAGCCTACAGAATGCTTGGAAGGGTTTGCTGAGCCAAGGCCCAGTGTGCCTGAATTGTGTTGGCATCTTTGTATTTATCAAGTTATTACACTTAAAGTTCACAAGGTAGCTGGACAGCGGTGGCACACACCTTTAATCCCAGCACTTGGGAGGCAGAGGCAGGTTGATCTCTGAGTTCGAGGCCAGCCTGGTCTATAGAGCAAGCTCCAAAGCCACAGAGAAACCCTGTCTCAAAAAAACAAAAAACAAAAAACAAAACATAACAAAAAAAAAATTTAAAAAGTCAACAAGTTAGACATGTGGTGTATGCTTATAGTCCCAACTATTCCACAGGCTAAGCAGGGCACCCATAGAGCCTAGCAGCTCAAGACCAACCAGTGCACCATTATTAGACCCCGTCCCTGAATTAAAGAGCCCTTCTACACTTAAAGTCCTGGGTTCAATCCCTATCATCAAATAAAACTAAGTATAATGACACATATCTGTAACCCCAGAACTCAGGAGGTAAAGGGTTGGAAGTTCAAGGTCATTATTAGCTATACATGGAGTTTGAGCCCATCCTGGCATGTGACTGTCTCAACAAAAAGTTAGTTAATACATTTTTTAATTCTTAGTGGGTGTAATTCTAGCAGTTGAGAGGTAGAGGCAGGAGGGTCAGGAGTTCTGGGTAATCCTTGGCTATTTAGTGAATTGGAAACCACCCTAGACTACAGAGAGAGGCTCTGTCTCAAAAACCAAACCAAACAAACAAGACAGAAGGTCGATGAGATAGCTCGTGGGTGAAGGCCTGAATTCAGCCCCTGGGGCCCGTATGGTGGAAGGAGAAAACTGACTCTAGTTGACCTCTAACCTCTCCTCACATACAGACACACTAAATAAACAAATGAATGTGATAAGATTAATTTTTTTTCAAATAATATTTTGGACTTTCTTTTAAAGAGATGTTTTTAACATTTATTTTATTCTCTTGTGTGTATGACTGTTTCTCCTGCATGTGTGCATATATACTACATGTATGCCTGATGCCCATGGAGATCAAAAGAGGACACTGGATACCCTGAGATTGAAATTCTAGACAGTTTGTAAGCTGCCTAGTGAGTGTCAAGAGTAAAACCCAGTTCCTCTGGAAAAGCAACAAATGCTCTTAACCATTGAGCTGTCTCTCCAGCCCCTATCTGGCTTCTGTTTAAAGATACTGGATTTCTCTTGCTATGACAGAACAGCATGACCAAAGTAACTTGGGAAAAGGTTTATTTGGCTTACACATTATGAAACACAATCCACTAAGGGAAGCCAAGGCAGGAACTCCAGCAGGGCTGGAACCTGGAGGCAGGAGCTGATGCAGAGACTACAGAGGCGTGCTTCTGACTGGCCTGCTCTGAATGAATGGCTTGCTGAGCCTGCCTTCTTGTAGAACCCAGCACCACCAGGCCAGAGACGGCACCACCCACAGTGGGCTGGGCCCTCCTGCAACAACCACTGATTAAGAAAATGCTAGGGCTGGAGAGATGGCTCAGAGGTTAAGAACACTGGTTGCTCTTCCAGAGGTCCTGAGTTCAATTCCCAGCAACCACATGGTGACTCACAACCATCTATGATAAGATCTGGTGCCCTCTTCTGGCATTCAGGTGTACATTCAGGCAGACCACTGTATATATAATAAACATTAAAAAAATAAAATTAAAAAAGAAAGAAAATGCTAGTGAGTGTCAAGAGTAAAACCCAGTTCCTCTGGAAAAGCAGCTCTTAACCATTGAGCTGTCTCTCCAGCCCCTATCTGGCTTCTGTTTAAAGATACTGGATTTCTCTTGTACTTTCTCAACCAAGGCTCTCAGATGACTATAGCTCGTGTCAAATTGACATAAAACTAGCCAGCACAAGATGGAACATCCAGCCATTTATAATTAGAATTCTTGCTGGAAAGGGAAGATAGGTGCCCTGAGCCAAGCAAGCTCAGGTTTAAGTAAGCTCTATGGTTCTGACCTCCCCCTCTCTTACCTTGCCTGGGGCTTGCAGGCTTGGCAGGGGTTGGGTTAGGGGTGGTTGGGGTGAAGGTGGGTCCAGCACTTGTGAACTGCAAGGGAAACCAGCAGCAGGGCAAGGTAAATTAGCCTTCTTTACCCTTGAGTGAAATGAGTACAGCCTCTCCTGCCCCCCAAAAAACAGTCTAGACAGGAGGCCACTGATGAGAGCTCTTAAAAATTGTGATAGAGAACCTGAAGTGTAGTTCTTCACAGGGTTCTGGTGGGGGTGAGGGCAGGGAAGGACTCAGTTTTCTTTAAGGGGCTGGCCACTGGGAGTTTGACCATGCTCTGATGAGTATATGGGCAACACAAATTGAACTTGATTCCTTCTACTTGGCAGGGGGGGTGGGAGGGTCACAAAGGGGGACCTGGGAAGTGACTGGGGTGCACTAAGTGAAACTCCCAAATAATCAATAAAAATATTATGTTGGGAAGAAAAAAAAGAAATGAGTACAGCTCATTCTAGTCTCTCATCCCGAGCAGACTACTAACTCCTTAGCAACAATAATAATAAAATAATACGCAGTCATCTGAGTTCAGGTGATGGCTTGTCTGGGCTCCTAGGTCTTAATCTAGAAAAATATAGAGCTCAGCGGTTCACGGAATCCAGGAGACAAGAGTGTGCAGAGGAGAAAGCGTCCCACTCAGGGAAGGACTGTGAGTAGAACACTGAGGGAATTCAATCTTTCTGACTCTTTTCCAAGTTACATGGAACCTGAGTTAAAGCGCTCAGTCCTAATGAGCAGCCTCCACTCCCAGCTTTTGCTTAAGGATAGCAATGGGGCAGGGTTGGCAGAGGGGGCAGATAAAAACACTTGCTAATATTGGAGCGTCAGGTAAACACTGGACCATTTTTAACATAAATATGTCCCCTGTGTATTTGGGCCTTATACTAAAAGTGAATCTGAAATGTCTGTGCTCTTGGGTATCTTGTGCTTTATCTAACAACTCCAAATGAGATTTAGAATGTTTAAAAGGAGACTTTGGGGGCAGAGTGTCTGCTGTACAAGTATGAAGACCTGAGCATAAACCCCAAGTACTCACAGAAAAACAGGATGTAGCCAGGCACTGGTGGCCCATGCTTTTAATCCCAGCATTCAGGAGGCAAAGGCAGGTGGATCTCTGTGAGTTCGAGGCCAGCCTGGTCTACAGGGTGAGTTCCAGGACAGCCAGGGCTACACAGAGAAACCCTGTCTTGAAAAAAGAAAAAAAAGCAGCAGGATGTGGCAGTGTGCTTGTGATTGACAAGGAACAGAGACTGGGTTACACAGTGAGACCTGTCTCAAGAAAGCAGAGGTGGAGGAGAGAAGGTGAAAAGGAGTAGGAGGAGGGGCCAGACATGGTTGCACACAGCTTCCCAGCACTTGGGAATTAGAGAGAGGCAGCTGGATTTCTGTGAGTTTTAGGCCAGCCTGTTTTGTTCCAGAACAGCTAAGGCTACATAGAGAAACAGTGTCTCAAAAAAAAAAAAAAAAAAAAAAAAAAAGCTCTTCTGGGGATGGTGCTTAGACACTCTCAGAATAGTCCAGCGTTTGATATACCGACATAGGCTTTCCTATAATACAGCCTCTAACAAAACTAGGCTGTCTCGCCGGGCATTGGTGCCGCACGCCTTTAATCCCAGCACTCGGGAGACAGAGGTAGGCGGATCTCTGTGAGTTCGAGACCAGCCTGGTCTACAGAGCGAGTTCTAGGACAGACTCCAAAGCAATACGGAGAAACCCAGTCTCAAAAAAAAACAAAAACAAAAAAACTAGGCTGTCTCAAACAGAATTGTTTACCTTTATACCAAGAATGTTGGGAAAGCACCTAAATCTGCATGCGGTGTGTGCCCAGGCTGACTTCGAGGGGTTGGTGCTGTTAGACCGGAAGTCCTTATGAGACTGTCTAGGCAAAGAAACCCGTCAGCAGGGTCCACGGTGGCTCCGTGTGTGCCAAGTGTATCCGTGACAGGATCAAGAGGACTTTTCTTATTGAGCAGCAGAAAATTGCTGTGAAAGTGTTGAAGGCACAAGCACAGAGTCAGAAAGTGAAATAAATATGCAGCTTTTAAAAATAAAGGTCAAGGCCTGGTCCATTAAAAAAAAATAAGAAGAAGAAGAAGGAGGAGGAGGAGGAGAAGGAGGAGGAGGAGAAGGAGGAGGAGGAAAGAAGGTGGGGGGAGGGAAAAAGGACTAGACAACTCATGGTTCAGTTTTAGGACCCACATGACAAGTAGTTCCAGAGGACCTGGCGCCCTCATCTGACCTCCTTGGGTACTGCATGTACATAGTGCAGAGACAGACAAACAGTACACAAATATTTTTGGTTTTTTAGAGAACGTCTGACTGTGTATCCCTGGCTGACTTGGAATTTCCTTTGTAGACCAAGTTGGCCTTGAACACACAGAAATTCTTCCTCTGTCTCCAGAGTTCTGGGATTAAAGTCGTGAACCACCGCTTCTGGATCAATAATAAATAAATCTTAAGAGGAGGAGGGAACACAGGGTGGAGAAGGAGGAAAACTGTAGAGCAGCAACCATTTTGGCCAAGTATTCTTGAGCAGCTGAGTGTGAACCCAAGTGACAGGACGGTGAGGTAGGAATATGATGCTCTGAACCATGCTCATGGCTGACTCTATTTTCCCTTTCAGTCCCTGTCACTACAAGGAACATCATGGCTGTGGATGTGACAGAATATCATCTGAGTGGTGAGTCTCCCAGACAAGACTTCCAAGAACCACAGCCTCAGGCAATTGCACCAAGCCTGGGAAGAGAGGTGTCACACAGCCATGGGACAACATCCTGGGACCCATTTGGGGTCTCCTCATCTTTTCACTACAGCAGATTCTTTCTGTTTCTTTGGTTTGGTTTGTGGATTTTGTTATTGTTGTTTTGTTTGTTTGTTAGACTTGGTCTCATGTAGCCCAAGTTGGCTTCAAAAATGTTTTTTGCAGTGTGTGTGTGTGTGTGTGTGTGTGTGTGTGTGTGTGTGTGTGTGGTGCATGTATGAATATGCGTGAGCATACGTAGAAGGTATGTCTGTGCACATGGGTGGGTGTGCATGCGGTGGTCACTGTTGGCCACCACTGATGTCTGGAGTGACCCTTCATTGCTCTTCCACCTTGTTTGTTGAGGCAGGCAGTCTTTCTGTGAAACCCAGACTTGCTCTGGGAAGTCCCTGTCTCTGCTTTCCAAGGCTGGAATTACCGGCACTTGTCATGCCCACCACACCAGCGGTAAGAGAGCTATTGTTAGGTCAGGTACAATCCCACTGGCCCAGGGCTGGGCTTTGAGATGGGGCAGCACCTGCTTTTCTCCGTCTCTAACCAGAGAGCCTCACTTCTCATCTGCAGCCCCACTGGTCTTCACAGAGAATGTGGTGGCCTTTTGTTAATGTCACACAACTTTCCCAGCTCCCAGCCCTTGTACATACCATTCCTTGGTGTGATTGTCTTCTCTGCTCTGTCTGTCTAAGCCCTGTGTCTCAAGTGGAAATCTACAGAGTGCAGCTCCAGAGCCAGACAATCAGTAGATTCTCCTCTGTCCTCAGCTTCCTCATCTGAAAAATGGGGACATCCTGGTTCCCAGGACTCAGGGGGCCAATATGTAGGAAGAGCTTAAGCAAAACCTGGAAGTAGTGATTAGCACACGGTAACAGAGCTATTGTTAAGTCAGGTATAATACTGCATGCCTTTAATCCCCATACTCCAGAGATAGGGGCAGGTGGGTCTCTGTGGGTTCAAGGGTAGAGTGAATTCTGTCTTTAAAAAAATGCTGATGTTAGAGTCCCTCTCCTCCATCATCTCATGTCTAGTCTTAGCTTAGGCTTCACTTTCATTGATGTACCCACTACCCCTCCTGGCATTCCATAAAGTCAGTCAATAAATATATAGTCATTATCATTCCATGTCACCTGCCTGGGTGTTTTCTTTTCCTGACCCTAGCTCTGCTGACCCTAAGTCTCCCCAAGTCTGTTCACCAGCATTGAAGATTTATTTAGTCCTCATCACCAAGACTCACATGCAGGGGTGCCTGGCTCTGCCCCTGGATATGCTGATAATCCACATGGGACCAAGGGCCTCTCTTCTGAAACTCCAGACAGCCCCTTGTTCCTGCCTGGCCTTCTGTGGCCCAGCTAGCCAGGTACTTTCCCATCTCACCCCCAGTGTGTAGATTCCGAGGACATCCCAGAATCTCCACATGCCGGGGCCTGATGCCCTCTGTAGATGTCTTGGTTGTGGTTTCAGTTGGCTCCCAAATTCTATTATATGTAGGAAAAGTCTAGAACAAGTAGGAGGCTCGTGCTTACAGTTCATTCAACTCTCTCTAAACTGAAGATGATTTGAACTCCTGGTCCTCCTGCCTCCACTTCCCAAGTGCTGAGATTCCAAGCATGTGACCACACCTGGCACCACATCTGATTGAAACGCCAGCCCGCTCCGCAAGCCCTTGTCCCTACACTGTGATTCTCACATTGAAATCTATCCTGTTGGGGAGTGATTTTCTTTCTTTCTTTTTTTTTAATTCTGGCAATGTCCCGTATCACCCCCCATCCTAATGACCTAAGTTGTCATTCTTAAAAGCCAGTGATATTCCTGCCTGTGACAAAACAGCCAGCCCCCAGCAGCTCCCTTGGTGGGACCTTCAGGATGTTCTCAGATCTCTGTTATAAATAAGCCGGGTGACTCACACTAGACATAACATTGTTGGGGGTTTTCCCCTTCACGTTATGCATCCTCTGTGGTGGGACCACTGAATGAGGGTGTTTGTCACATCCACTCTCCCAGTGAGGACACCGGAGCCCAGAAAGGCTGGCGACATGGTGATAGACCTTACGGCCAAGCTACCTGAACCCAGATGGTGTGTGTCTCGGCAGTGTGGCTTTGTCAGCCTTGGTTCGTCTCTTGTGACAGCGGAGAGTGCTCAATGCTGTAGGGATGCCGGGCTGAAGATCCAGCCCTGTCCTTTGGACTGTTGGACTTTGGGGAGTAGAGGCAAAGAGCCCCTCTGGCCTTGCTGTCCCTCCCACTGAGCTCAGGTCCGTTGTCACCGCCTCCTTTCTGCTGGCCCGCAACTCCTAGCCCCTATTGCATAGCCTGCCATACTTCCTTTTATTTTACTTTATCTTGTGTATATGGGTTTTTGTCTGCATGTATGTCTGCACTACTTATGTGTACATGGTGCTCACAGAGGCCCAAAGAGGGTATCAGATTCTCTGGAACTAGAGTTGTAGGCAGTTGTGAGCCACCATGTGAGTGCTGAGATTCAAACCACGGTCCTCAGAAGAGCAGCCGATACTCTTAACTGCTGAGCCACCTGTCGAACCACTCCTCCACACATCTCAGCCTTCCTGTACTCCCAGCACAATTTCCAGCCTCCCATTTGAATTAGCCATTTGCCTGCACACCCCAACTCTGGACTCTGTGCTACTCAGGGTGAGGAGCTGGACCTGGGGCTCACTCACTCAGTGTTGGCTCCCTGCCCACAAGGAGCTGACAAGGATCAGTCTCCACCCTGCTTTGGTTATTTCTTGTTTCTTTATTTTTTTTTAATGTATTCATTAGATCTCAGCTTCCACTCAGAGAGACCCTCCCTTCCTCCTGCCAATCTCCACCTTGCCACTGCAGGGGGGGGGGGAAGGATGCTAAGCCAGGTCAAGACCAGGTATGGCTCTGGTTCTATCTGATGTCTGGCTGCTGGAGTAGCAACCCGAGCACTACTCATTTCCAGCTTTGTGGCCTTGGGCAAGTTCTTTAGCTTTCCCAAGCCTCAGTTTCCCCATTTGAGTTGAGTACAGCAATAGTACTAGAAATGGTTTAGAGACCTACCTGCCTCCACTGTCACCTGCCACATGAAACATCTCGGTGTCTTCCTGAAGACATCAGAGCCAGGTTCCTGAGCAGAAGGGAGCCAGATTCTTGAGCACATGTGGTCCTGTCATGGCCCACACACTATACAAGGTGAGGAGTCATGGGGAATTGGTTGAAGAACCAAATTACTATGTGTGGAAACAGAGATATCACCTTGGGACCAGCAGCTAAGACCTGGTCAGCAGAGGAAAAGAGCTCCTAGGTTCTCTTGAGGCCAAGCACAGCCTGTGGCCACCTCTTGCTTAAGTAGAGCTGGTGTGTTCATTTGAGGTTAGAGATTTACTAAGAGTTAAAATCTCTGTCTCAAAAAACCAAAAAAAACAAAAGAAAAAAGAAATTGACTGCTTTAAAATGTACACAGCAATGGCCTTTAGTATAATGAATGGCCAATAAATTTTTAGGCTATTTTCATCATCCCAAAAAGAAACTCCCTTCAACTGTTTCCATTTACCAAATCAAAATAGTTTATTATTTTTTAATTTATTTATATTTTATGTGCATTGGTGTTTTGCCTGTATGTATGTCTGAGTGAGGGTGTCAAGTCCCCTGGAATTGGAGTTTTAGACAGCTGTGAGCCCACCATGTGCTTGCTGGGAATTAAACCCAGGTCTTCTGGAAGGGTAGTCCGTGCTCCCAATGGCTGAGCCATCTCTCCAGCCCCATAATTTTTTATATTATTATTATTTATTTGTGTGTTTGATGTTGTGTGTCTTCCGTCATCATTTGCTCTCTGCCTTATTTTTTTGAGACAGTCTCCCCTCAGTCTGGCCAGTTGGCTAGACTATCTGGCAGCAAGCTCTGGAGACCCACTTGTCTCTGCCCTACAGCACTAGGGTTACAAACATGCACCACCACACCCAGTTTGTATGTCAGTGCTGGGGATTTGAACTCAGGTCTTTATGCTTGACCAACAGGCTCTTTACTGTTTGAGCCATCTCTTCAGCCTTTTAAACAGTTCTTATATAGTTGTCCTTCAGTATCTTCAGGGGTTCATTCCTGGACCCCCCCACTAAGTATGAAAATCCATAAAATGATCAAGTTAATGATATAGTGTTTGCACAGTTCCCATACACATCCTCCTGTGTACTTCTGACCATCTCTAGATGACTACTAACACTTAATAAAATGTAATTTTTTGTTGCCCTGCTCTATTAAGGGAATAAAGACAAAGGAAAAATATGTTTGTTTGAAGTCAGGACAGGCACAGCCTGATTGCACAGTCCACAATTCAGGATGAGTTGAGGCCACAGGGGCGGAACCCACAGACACAGAGGCTGACTGTAAATAGAATTACATAGCTGTGGTCTCTGAGACCAGCTTCTTGCAGCCACCAGGATGTTCTCAAGGTTTATTTACTCTCTATTGTTTTAACGTTGGCCTGATTGTTTCTGAGTAACATTCCTTGAAGTGAGTGTGTCATGTTCCATGCAGTGTGGCACTTTTCGGCTCAATCATTCACCAGCTGATGGATGTTGGGTTGAAGCACAGATAATCACTCCTTTTTCTCCTCTAAATTGTTATCCCTTCCCCAAGACTGAAAGGCCATTTTGGTTCTCTGAAGCAAGAGGTCCTCTGAGGACTTTGAGGTCAGGGAACCCTTGGAAGCAAGAACAATTCTGTTTGTCTGAAGCCCGAGATATCTAACCACCATATGAGGTTTTCATCTGCGCAGGCCAAGTGTCTCCCAGCAGAAATGTGTGGTTTTGTGGAAAAGGGCACAGAAGCAGAGATCTCAAGAGTGTGTTTAAGCTGGGTGTGGTACAGCACATGCATGATCTCAGCACTTGGAAGGCTAAAATAGGAGAATTGCCTAGAATTTGAGGCCAGCCTGGGCTACACAGCAAGACTGCCTCAAAAAAAAAGAAAGGAAGGAAGAAAGGGAGCAGAGTATGTCTTGTATATCACCGATTCTGAAGAGCCTCCTACCAAATCTTGTAGCACAGTATAAAAATAATTTTTAATAAAACTTTTAATTTTTCTTTTAAAATTTTTATTTACTGCATATTTATTTATTTACTCATTTAGTTGTGGTTTGTATATGTGTGTAGGCATGCCAGGGTACTCATATGGAGGACAGAGAACAATTTATGGGAGTTGGTTATGGTCTTCCAACATATGGTGTCTCAAGGGTCAAACTCAGGTCATCAGTCAGTGGCAAGCACCTTTACTCAATGAACAGTCTTTTTCCCCAATAAAAGCATGCTTGGCACCTAAATAGCAGTAGGTAGGAGGCATATTGAGAACTCAGGTGGAAGAAGTAGCATTAGGAGCTCAGCTACAAAGCAAGTCTGAGGTCAGCCTGGGCTACATGAACCCCCTGTGTCAACACAAAACCAAACCAAACAGAAAACAGGACCTTAGAAGAGGTGTCTCAGTCAGTAAAATGGTTGCCATGCAAGTATGAGTACCTGAGTTTGGTCCCCAGCATCCATGTGAAGTCAGGATGGCATGTGTTTATAATCCAATCACTGGGGAAGCAGAGACATGAGGATCCCTGGGGCTTGCTGACCAACTAACAGAACTTGTGTCAAAACCAAGGCTTCTGAAGAACACCACCTTGGGTTGCCCTTTGGTCTCCAAATGCGTACACGGGTACATATGCATGCACACCCATTTGTGCATATACATTCATGCATACTCACATAAAAAAAAAGCCAAGCACACAAAACATGTAAATATGTAAGTACCAACCGTAACCGACGTTTTCCCTGGTGATCACTGTAGCCCACTAATGACAGGCTGCCCTTGCTTTGCAGTCATCAAGAGCCCTGCTGGCTGGGAGGTGGGTGTCTACGCTGCAGGGGCCCTGGCCCTGCTTGGAATCGCAGCTGTGAGTCTGTGGAAGCTCTGGACATCCGGAAGCTTCCCCAGCCCCTCCCCGTTCCCTAATTACGACTACAGGTACCTGCAGCAAAAGTATGGAGAGGCCTACGTGGAGGCGAAGCTGAAGGTGAGGTTTCCACTCCTGCAGACCCACATCCCACCATCATTCTGAGGGTCAGCCTCCAGGCTTGCCACCTCTGTGAATGGGGATCAAACCTCTTATACTCCTGCAGACCATCAACTCTTAGCCCTATGCTCGATGAATAAATGATTGATGTAAGTGATTGATCACAGTTTTTAAAACTATCACAGCAAAAGTCAGATGTGGTGGCCCACACCTTTAATCCCAGCACTTGGGAGGTAGAGGCAGGCAGATCTCTAAGTTCAAAACCAGCCTGGTCTACAGAACGAGTTTCAGGACAAATAGGGCTGTTAGACAGAGAAACTCTGTCTTGGAAAGAAAAACAAAAGAAGAAGAAGAAAGGAAGGAAGGAAGGAATAAATCTTAAAAAACAACTCCCGTACACCAGCGTTGGTGGCACACACCTTTAATCCCAGCACTTGGAAGGCAGAGGCAGGTGGATCTCTGTGAGTTCGAGGCCAGCCTGGTCTACAGAGCTAGTTCCAGGACAGGCTCCAAAGCTACACAGAGAAACCCTGTCTCAAACAACAACAAAAACCCTAGTCTCCTATCTTGTGAGACTAGGTGTGACAGTGCACACCTATAATCCTACACCTTTGGTGGCTCGGCCAAGAGGACCATAAGTCAAAGGCAGCCATGAGCTCTAGGCTGCACAGTAAGAGCTTGTCTCATAAGACTTTCATGTGGGCCAGGGAGGTGGTTTAGAAGGTAAAGTGACAGGCTCATCTGTCACTAAAACTGATGACCTGGGTTCAATCCTTGGGGCCACGGTAGAAGGTGAGAACAGACTATGGTTCACACGCATCATCACACCATCTCACAGAGACAAATAAATAAAATGTAAAAAAATTCAAAGACTATCAGGTAAAAAAATATAGAAAAATACAAATAAGAGAAAAATTTTTCACAAATGTTACTACTCAATTATTAACTAGGTTTTTGTTTATTTTTTGTTTTTTTGTTTTGTTTTGTTTTTTAAGATAGTATCTTGCTATGTCTTCCTGGAATTTACTATGTAGACCAGACTGGCCTTGAATTTGTAGTGATCTTGCCTCTGCTTCTGTGTCATATGTGAAACTTTGTCATCATTTGGGATCTTTATTTTTTGTTTGTTTGTTGTGTTTTAAAAAAATTCCCCACCTGGTGGTGCTGGTGCTCACTTTTAATCCCTGCACTCAGGAGGCAGAGGCAGATGAATATCTGAGTTCGAGGCCAGCCTAATCTATAGATCAGGATAGCCAGGGCTACACAGAGAAACTCTGTCTTGAAAAAAAAAAGAATCAAGATGAAGGTTTTGTCTGCATGCATGTCTGTGCACCACCTTGCTTGGTGCCTGAGGTGACAGAAGAGGGCACCAGATCTCCTGAACTGGAGGCAGATGTGATCTGGAGCTACCATGTGTCCGAGGGGGACTGAACCTTTGGGTCTTCTGGAAAGCAGCCTGTGCTCTTAGCCACTGCACAGTGTCTCTGCCCTAAGATTTCTTTTGACGGCTGAAGAATCTGAGATAATTTAATACTTGGCAGAGGACTTTTAAGGCATGACATACAGTTCCAGAGAGCACAGTATGGCTGTTACCAGAGCAGGTACTCACTCATTTGGTGGCCCCTACTACTCTGTTGGGAGAAGCGTGAATTGGGACAACTTTTCCAAGAAGCATCTTGGTAACACGTGTTGAAAACTGTCAAAAGGACTGTCCTCTGAGTTAGGATTTAAGGAAGCTATTGAACGGCTGCTCATGGTTTCATGTGCCTTTAAATTCAGAACACTGAAGTAAAAGCAAACAGAGCTTTGGGAGTTCAAGGCTACCCTTGTTTGCACAGTGAGTTCTAGGCCAGCCAGCGGTACTTAGTAAGGCCCTGTCTCAAAAAACAAAACAAAAGAAAGCTAATTGTGTGGGGCAGTGTGGCACACACCTTTAATCACAGCACTTGTCAGGCAGAGGCAGGTGGATCTCTGTGAATTCGAGGCCAGCCTAGTCTACCTAGCTAATTCCAGGACAGCTAGGGCTATACAGAGAAACCCTGTTTCAGGGGAAAGACAAAAAGAAGCTAGTTGATACTGGGCATGGTGGCACAGCCTGTCATTCTTAGCACTCAAGGGACAGAGTCATAAAGATCAGAAATTCAAAGCTGTCATTGGCTACATAGGTACATGTGTGGCGATCAGAGGACAATTTGTAGAGACAGTTCTCCTTCTAACATGTGGACACTGGGAATCCACCCCAGGTCATCAGACTTGGCGGCAGACACCTATACCTGCTGAGTCACCTCACTGGCTCTTGTGCTTTGTTTTCGTAATCTTCCTTTGACACTACTCAACCATCTGTGGAGTGACTGTATCCCACGATTCTTAACCTAGTCCTCGTCTTTTGGACGCTTTGATGGCTATTATTGTTTGATTGTTTTGAGACTGGATCTCAGGAGCCTGAGGCTGATCTTGATCCTTCTGCTTCAACCTCCCACATTCTGGGTTATAAATGTGCTCTTCTACACCCAGCAGCTTTTTATAAATGTCATTGGAGTTCATATGTTTATGTATGGAATTGTTGTCACAACAAATTAGTTTAAGAAAATGCTTTCTTGGACTAGAGAAGTGGCTTAGTGATTAAGAGCACTGGCTGCTTTTTCAGAGATCCTGAGTTCAATTCCCAACATCCACATGGCAGCTCACAGCTGTCTGTAATTCCAGTTCCAGGGGATCTGATTGCTGTCACACAGACATACATGCAGCCAAAACACCAATGCACATAAAATAGGAATAAATAAATCATTTTTAAAATGTTAAAAAGAAATAAGTCTTTTTAAAAAATGCTTTCTTCGACAGTCCATGGTGGTACATGCCTTTAATCCCAGCACTTGGGAGGCAGAGACAGGTGGATCTCTGAGTTCGAGGCCAGCCTGGTCTACAGAGTGAGTTCCAGGACAGTCTCCAAAGCTACAGAGAAACCTTGTCTCAAAAAACCAAAACAAACAAACAAATAAAAAAATGCTTTCTTCCATTCTAGTTAAGGAGAGAAACTAAGCTAGACATATTTGCTGCATGAATGTAACCCCAGTACTCAGGAATTAAAGCAGGAGGGTCAGGAATTCCAGGCCAGTCAGGAATATGAAGCAAGTTCCTGTACTGAGAGACAGAAAGGGAAACAAAGTGGCCTGAAGTAATAGTTCCCCTGGGCTGGTTTTGTGAAAGGAGAGCCTAGGGTACCTTGAACAAACAAGCAAAGGCCATCTCAGCTGCCCCCTAGAGATGGTGCTGTGACCCATGTGATGCTTCCCTGTCCCTTTGTTCACCTGCAGAGAGTCCCTCAGTGGAATGCACAGCGGACCAACCCTCAGGGACCACCTAGCCGCAAAGGCAGCCTCAGTATTGAAGACACCTTTGAAAGCATCAGTGAACTGGGCCCCCTGGAGCTGATGGGACGGGAACTGGACCTGGCCCCCTATGGAACTCTCCGCAAGTCACAATCCGCTGACTCTCTGAACTCCATTTCTTCTGTGAGCAACACCTTTGGGCAGGATTTCACACTGGGCCAGGTGGAGGTGAGCTTGGACTATGACGCAGCCTCCCACACCCTCCATGTGGCAGTTCGGCAAGGCAAGGACCTCCTGGAGCGCGAGGAAGCCACCTTCGAGTCCTGCTTCATGCGGGTCAGTCTGCTGCCAGATGAACAGATCGTTGGCATCTCCCGGGTAAGTGGGATGGGGCACAGAAGTGCACTGGATTCCCTGAAGCCTTCCAGGGAAGCTGACATCTGGGCTGGTGGGCAAATCTTCAGTATCAGAAAGGAAGATGGGGGGGGAGGGCTGGAGAGCAGATCAGAGTGTGGCTCCATAGTACAATGGCCAGGCATAGAACCAGGCTCTGCTGTGTACAGATTTCAGTCTTCCTATCACTCAAGGACAGTGAGTAATTATCCACCTCCACATCTGTCAACATGGAGTCTTGGCAAAAAGAAAGACGGCCTGCTCGTTTGGCTGATCTGGGAGAGAGAGCTAAATAACAGACTCATTTGCAATTTGCTTTGGAGTGGGTGGGGGGGTGGCCTTGGTGGTGGCATGGTTCCATGAGTTTGTGAACAAGAAGGGAGGTCCACACCAGGGACTGAAAAAACCATGAGAGAAAAGTGAGTTTCTGGATCCCAAATGAAAGGGTCACACTCATAGGAGCTGTGTTCTTTCATGAGAGGGTGTGGTTAGCCCCCTGGAAAACTTGAACCTCCCTCTGATCTCTGACATGCTGACACAGCCCTTGGCAGTCAGCAATCAAGAGGAAAGAAGGGGTTGGATCCAACAAGGAGATCACAAGATACCTCCAAGGTGCTGCACCTTGACAACCATACCTACTGCCCAGCAGCAGGCTATGGGAGTCCAGATCCTGGACCCTCTGAGATGAACCAGGTCAACCCTCAGTGACCTATGCCCTGCATGACCAGAGTCTTCTGTATTCTTGGAGACCCATCTGTGCCTCGTCACTTTTACCACATTGAACATTAGCTGGCTGGCTCTCAGAGGTGGACATCCCACCCCCACCCCACCCCCACATAGTACCCCTATAATTCTAGAACTAACCACTAACTCTCTATACATGTGGTATCAAGGGTCTAGTTTTCTACTGGAAGTACAATGGCAGTGGGTGGTTAGGAATCAGGCTAAAATCCAAGTTCCACCTTCTCCTGGCAGTGTGACCTTGAGCAAGTCACTTAAGCAGCTGGCTTCAGTTTCCCTGTCTGTCAAATAAGCATCACAAGTATGAAGAAGGGCTGGGGTTATACATACAAAGCACTTAACTCAGTCCTTGGTAGATGATCAGGACTGGTTCTCGGGACCATGAAGAGCTGCTGTTGAGCCTGACACACATTATGCTGCTCTTGGCCTGAGCCACATGAAAGGCTTTGGGTGACTCAAAACATGTCTCTTGAGGAGGGACATTGGTGGACAGAAGCTTGGGAGAGTGTGAGGCAGAGCTCTGTGTGGCAACACGGCTCCTGGTTTGTGTATTAGGGTAGAGTGGCTGAAGAAAGAACCTTCCAGAGCCTGGCAGAGACAGAAGGCTAAGATCAAAGTAGCTAGAGGCTAGCAGGGTTTGTTCCTAGGAAGACAGTCTTCATGACATCACAGCCTAGCAGTCTCACTGTGCGGGTGGGGTGTTGCCTCTGGGTTGAACAACCCACTCAGTTCCAGAGAAGATGCCAGGGATGAGAGCTGCTCTCTAAATACCATCACACAGTGACTCAGATGGCCCCCACAGAAGGGCAAGCAGAGCCTCTCGTGCACCTCCCTGAGGACTGCCCACAGCTTCCTGGGAGAAGGCTGATAGCATCCAAAGCAGGAGTGAAGCATACCCAGGTCCTGCCGAGTCACTCCATCCATCCGTCTGTCTGTCTGTCCACTCATCCATCCATCCATCCATCCATCCATCCATCCATCCATCCATCCTATGACAATCAGAAAGTCTTTGCCAGGCTTTACAGGGGACTGTGGTGCTAGTGGCTATTTATGAACAGTTGTCTGGCTCCCACTGCATGCCTGCCCCGTGGCTAATTTGGGCAGACAAGAGAGATAGAGACCAGCTTAGCCACAGCATCTTGTGAGGATGAGGATTACTGGGATTCAATTACAGAAGCTTCTAATGTAGGCCAATGGGTGACCGTAACCAAGGAGGGGACATTGGGATTTATAAACCTTCAAAGTTTCCTCAACACTTGGGAGATGGAGGCAGAAAGATCAGGAATTCAAGGTTGTCCTTAGCTACATAATAAATTTGAGGCCATCTTGAAGTACACGAAATTCTGTCTCAAAACAAACAAAAAACCAATCACATATCAACAACAACCAAAATTCTTCAGGTCTACAAGGCCTGGTAACTTGTACTGTAATCTCAGTGCTCTGAAGGCTAAGGCAGGAAGATGGCTGTAAATTCAAGGCTAGTCTGGGCAATATAGTGAGTTCCAGACCAGCCAGAGCTTCTTAGTGAGATCCTGTCTCAGAAAAGAGAGAGGGAGAAGGTGAGGTACGGAGGATCATGCTTGTAATCCTAGCATTTTGGAGTTAGTGGCAGGAAGTTCAGGAGTTCATCCTGAGCTATGTGGGATCTAGTCTCAAAACAAAACAAAATTAAGGAAACATCTTGAAGGCTGAACACAAAAGGAGGACAGGAATTGAGGTTGTGGGTACCACAAAGCCCCTCCATGGCCTCTTCTCTCTATAGATCCAGAGGAATGCCTATTCCATCTTCTTCGATGAGAAGTTCTCTGTCCCTCTGGATCCCACAGCCCTGGAGGAGAAGAGCCTTCGATTTTCTGTGTTCGGCATTGATGAGGATGAGCGGAACGTTAGTACCGGTGTGGTGGATCTGAAGCTATCTGTTCTGGACCTCCCGCTGCAGCCCTTCAGTGGCTGGCTATACTTACAGGACCAGAATAAGGTATTACCTGCTTTAGCCTACCCATTCACCTGAAGAGAGAATACCCAAACCCACTTCCTAGGAGAGATGCCACTATCCTGTCCCTCGATAGACCATGACAATATTAAGACAACAAACAACTCACACTGTTATGTGGTGGTAAAACATCCTGTAGATACCACTGTTTACAGCTCTTCTTTGATTTTTTTTATTTTATCTGTCTATCTATCTGTCTGTCCGTCTGTTTGTTTGTTTGTTTGTTTGTTTATTTGGTTTGTTGAGACAGGGTTTCTCTGTGTAACAATCCTGACTGTCTTAAAACTTGTTCTGTAGACCAGGCTGGACTGGGACTCACAGAGAACCACCTACCTCTGCCTCCCGAGTGCTGGAATCAAAGGAGTGCACCACCAACACCTGGCTTCTTTGATTTTTTTTTAACGTTGTATTTATTTATGTATTTATTCTGTTTTCTGTGTGCATGTGTGTATGGGCATGTATACCCACAGAAAGAAGCATGTGTGAGTCAGAAGACCCATTGCCTTCTATAAGTTGGCTCTCACCTTCACCACATGGGTTGGTGGCAAGTGCTTTTACCCACTGAGCCATCTCTAGCCTTCTCCTCAGTTCTTTCTTTTATTTTTTAGTATTTATTTACTTATTTACTCTTATGAATGTCTTGACTGACTTGCCTGGATATACGTATGTGTACCGTATGCATGTCTCATGCCCATGGATGTCAGAAGAGGATGTCCGGTCCCCTGGAACTAGAGTTGCATATAGTTGTGAGCTGCATTGTGGGTGCTGGAGACTGAACCTGGCTGGGCCTTCCAGAAAACACCCAGTGCTCCTAACTGCTGAGCCTTCTCTCCAGCCCCGCATCTCTGTGCCTACTACCACATCATCAGAGGTTCTACTATAAGCTACTGTTAAGGGTGCATAGGTCTGGCCCTAATGAGGGTTATTTCAGACAGGGGACAAACTAAAACTTAAATCATTGTGACAATGCCAGGGAACATGATTGCTTAAGCAGATGCTGTCAACTTTGATCTCTTTGTGCTAGTCATAGAATGTTTTCTTTGGCCCTAAATAAGGGAACAAAACTGCACCTCACTGGTGTACTCAACAGGCAACCTTTGGGCCTCCTTCCAAGGCATGGCCTACACCTGGAGCAAGGGATGGTCTGGGCATGCTCACTGGTGTGGCAGCGGGTGGTAGGTTGTCCTTTTCTCAATCCTGCCAGCCTACGTTTAAGAGTTACCTCAGAAGGAAATGTCCACCTTTCCCTGGACCCCTTGGCCCTGGAGGGCAGAAGCCTCCTGAGCCATACCTATTTTCACAGGTGGCTGACGCTGTGGGAGAGATCCTGCTGTCCCTCAGTTACCTGCCCACAGCTGAGCGTCTGACTGTGGTTGTGGTGAAAGCCAAGAATCTCATCTGGACCAATGACAAGACCACAGCAGGTGAGGGCCTATGTACTGAGCTCCTCCACGAGGCTCAGGGGGAGCTGTAGTGCTATGAGCAGGTCCCAGGCACAGGGCCAGAGCCCCTGTGGCCTCAGCTAAGCTCAGGAGCCAGGCGTGGTGGGGAAAGGTTAATTCAGCTAGAGAAGCATGGGAACCCTGGAGGGTGACAAGCAGCCCAGGGTGTGGAGTGGAGAGTGAAAGGGAAATCGATGGAAGCTGAGGACAGGAATCAACACACTTGTGCAGTGGCACCAGACAAAAAATGGAGAGTCAGTGTCCATCTGTCAGAGACAGGGCAGCAACCAGACTTTAAATGGGGAGAGGTGCCCCAACCTTTGCGGGGAGGGTCACGTGGGATCTAACATCCTAGGTCTGCAGGGACCTTTCTGGACTTGACTGCCTAGGGCCCGGTAGGAAGACTTGCTATCTCAGAGCTGCACACTGTTAGGCTCTGCTGTGTTGGCATTCAGTGACTCGGATCTGCTATCTGCACTCAGGCCAGTAATAGCAAGAGAAGCATCTGATCTGCCTCCTTCCGGGGAATATGTGTGAGGGAAATATGCAGTAGGCTGCCCTATCTTGACTGGCCATGAAAGCACTGAGTTTCTCAACTGGGAAATAGATTTTAATAAATTTCAAGGGTTTGGAGATGTAGCTCAGCTGATAGAGTGCTTGTCTGTCATGCATGAAACCTTGAGTTCAGTAATCACATTGCATAAAACACAACATGGGCCCTACAGTGGTGGCACATATCATTAATCCCAGCACTCGGGAGGCGGAGGCAGACAGATTTCTGTGAGACTGAGGCCAGCCTGATCTACAAAGCGCATTCCAGGACAGCCAGGGCCACACAACACAGTGAAACCGTGTCTCGAAAACAACATCAAAACCTACAACATTGTAGTACATGCCTATAATATTTGCACTCAAGAGGTGTGGACAGGAGAATCAGAAGCTCAAGGTCATCCTTAAACCAACATCAAGCTATGCCCAGCTATTCTGGAAGCTGAGACAGAAAGATCCCTTAAGCCCGGGAGTTCAGAACCAGCCTGAGACACATAATGAGACCTTGTCTCTCAGTATCAATCAATCAATCAATCAATCAATCAATCAATCAATCAATCAATGCCCAATAACAAACCAGGTATGGTGGCTCCTAGCAGTCAGTGGGATGAGGCACTAGGATTACAAATTTAAGGCCAATCTGTGTTACATAGCAAGATACTGTCTCAAAAATAAACAGAGCTGCAGAGATTGCTCCAAGGTTAAGAGCAATTGCTGCTCTTGGAGAGAACTGGAATTTGGTTCCCAGCACCCACACTGGCCAGTTTATAACTGCCTATAACTCTAGATCTCCGACACCTCTTCTAGACTCTGTAGGCACTGTACTTATGTATATACACCTATATATAGACACTCACTATATACGTAATATAAATACATAAATTAAAAGTAAATCTTAAAAATAAGTACTTAAGCCAGGTGATGGTGGCACAAAACCACACCTTGAAAAATAAATAAATAATAAGTCAGGCATTAAAGTTTGCAACTTTCATCTCAGCAACTCAGGAGTCTGAGGTAGGAGGATCCCTTAAGTTCAGGAGTTTAGAACCAGCTGGAAAACATAATGAGATCCCATTTCTTTTTGTTGTTGTTGTTTTGTTTTGTTTTTTATTTTTGAGACAGGGTTTCCTCTGTGTAGCTTTGACTGTCCTAGAACTCACTCTGAGACCTGGCTGGTCTCGAACTCACAGAGATCTGCCTGCCTCTGTCTCCAAGTGCTGAGATTAAAGGCATGTGCCACCAAAGCACCACTATATTTCTTTTTCTTTCCTTCCTTTTTCCCTTCCTTTCTTCCTTCCTTCCGTTTTTCAGGACAGGGTTTCTTTGTGCAGCCTTGATTGTCCTGGAATTAGCTCTATAGACCTGGCTGGCCTCAAACTTACAGAGATCCATCTGCCTCCCAAGTGCTAGGATTAAAGTTGTGTGCCACAACCGCCCAGCTGGCTCCATTTATTATATAAATAAATGAATACCAAACAGTGGACTTTGGAGATAATGGCAATAGCCAAGGGCCAGGGAATTGGAGGTAGTGAATAGAGCCAGAAAAGACAGGGCCATGCCAAGCAAGCATGTTACTGACCTTCCCCCACATATCTGCCTGTAGACCCCTTCGTCAAAGTTTACCTGCTACAGGATGGGAGGAAGATGAGCAAGAAGAAGACAGCTGTGAAGAGGGATGACCCCAACCCGGTGTTCAACGAAGCCATGATCTTCTCAGTGCCAGCCATTGTGTTACAGGTAAGGAGCCCTGGATCCTCACAGGACTCTGGGCTACCTCTTCCTTCCAGTGTTGCCTTGTGTACCTCAAGCCAACCTCCTTCTAGTTAATCATTGATTGAGCCCACCACTACATGCCAGCCTGTGGTGAGGGGACCCAGGCACTGCTTTCTTTGTGCCTACAAAGGACAGGTTGGGAAGTCCCCAGACTTTGTAAACCCCATTGGAAGCTCCCTTTGCATTAGTAGTCAGGGGAGATTTTCTGCAGGAGGTGACAGCTCAGCTGAACTCTGAGGAACTGCATTGCCTGAAGATGAACTAGAGTGCCCAGGGCCCAGGGACGTGAGCACCTTCAGAAGTCTTGCTGCAAGGACCCCACTAGAATCTTCTTACCCTAGGGCTTCCAGTGCTTCTGGGAGAACACTCCCGACACAGGGATATCACATACTAGTCATGGGTGGTGGAATGAACCACAGAGAATATAGCTTAAGCCATATCAGTCGGAGAGTAGGGATCTCCCTCCTCTCACTGACTCCATCCTTAGGCACACCTAACAATAAGAGAGTCCTTTTATCCTTGTCCTGAAGTCTGCCCTGCAGTCCAGGGACTGTGCAGGGCTTTCCTAGTCTCCTCCTAGGGATGCTCTTGGGGGATTTCTTTGTTTTTCAGTGCTGATTATAAACCCGAGGCTTTGTGTAGGCTAGGCATCCACTTTACTACTGAACTATCCTGCCAGCCCCTGTAGATTTGAAAGTTGGATGTCAGCCTCACTCTGGGTGTCCCAAATCTAAGAATCAAGACAACATTCCAGCATATCTGGCTGGTCCTAGGATCATAATCTTGTCCCTTATTGGACAGTCCCATTTGACCCCTGCTTTTGCCCTGTTTGTCACAATGTCACTTCCCTCCAACCTCCAAAAATGAAGCTGTGGGGGGACTAGGTAAGAACAGTTGGGCCAACATCACAAATATGTTCTTACTTAACCCTACCCTCAGCTGTACTCTCACATGACCTGTTGGCAGGCTAGCACCAGGCCACACATTTTCCTCCCAGAACAGCCCTGAGAAGCAGGGAATGCTGTCACATTTTAAAGACAAAGAAACAGGTAGCAAAGGCCCAAGTCCAAAAGCCCAGATGCTAGAGAACTTGTTTAGCACACACAGAATCCTGGGTTTCCAACACACACTCACACCACACACACACACTCACACACACATTCATACACACTCACACACATACACACCACACACACTCACACACACACACACCACACACACACTCATACACACACACACCATACCCCACATACACACTCACACCACACATACACACTCACACACACACTCACACACACACTCACACCACACACACACACCATACCACACACACACTCATACCACACACACTCACACACACTCACACACCACACATACCACACACACACTCATACACACTCACACACATACACACCACACACACACACACACACTCACACACACACTCACACACACCACGCACATACACACCACACACACACACATGAATGCTCACACACGAACATACGAGTGTGCACGTGTACACACATGCACTGGTACACACCACACACACCCCATACCTCATAAACCAGGCATGGGGGTGCACTCACTCAGGAGGAGGTGGAAGCTGGGGGATCAGAAGTTCAAGGTTATTCTCTGCTCTGATAAATATAAACAGTGAGGTGACCATGGCAGCATGTACCTTTAGTTCCAGCACTCAGGAGGTCAAGGCTGGCTGATCTCTATGTGTTTGAGGTCAGCCTAGTCTACATAGTAAACTGCAGGCTAACAAGGGCTACCTAATGAGACTCTGTTTAGAAAAAAAAAAAAAAAAAAGACGAAAAACAAGGAAGCTGAGCATCGTGGTATATGCCTTTAATCCCAGTTCTTGGGAGGCAGAAGCAGGCTTGGTCTACAAGGTAAGTTCCAGGACAGTCAAGGCTATTAAACTTATACACTGTCTCAGAAACAAACAAAAAACAACAACTACAAGCTGGGCATTTGTGGAACCTGGTCAGCCTGGTCTACAGAGTGAGTTCCAGGACAGGCTCCAAAGCTACACAGAGAAACCCTGTCTTGAAAAACCAAAAAAGAAAACAACAACAACAACAAAGCAGGGGACTAGAGAGGTGGCTTGGCAGTTAAGAACACTTGCTGCACTTCCAGAGGACTTGGGTTCAGTTCCCAGCACCCGCATGGTAGCCCACAACCTCCTGAAACTCCAGTTCCAGGGTATCTAGCGCCCTCCTGGGCATTGTACATGTGTGATATACATACACACCTGCAGGCAAACACTCATACATATAAAATAAAAACCTGTTTTTCAGAAAGCAAAACAAACCAAAAAAATTAAGACCAACCAACAAATAGATAAACAGCCTAAGTTCTAAGCCTGATATGGTAGCATGCACTTGTTATCCTAGTACTTGGGAGTTCAAGGCACGAAGGAGTTTAGGTATAGCTTCAGCTACATAGCAAGTTTAAAGCCAGCCTGGACTACATGAGACTCTGTCTCAAGAATAAGTATGGCTGGAGATACGGCTCAGCAGTGAAGAGCACATACTTCTCTTACAAAGGATCCAAGTTTAGTTCCCAGTACCCATATCAGATGTTCACAGCTGCCTGTAATTTCAACTCCAGGTATCCAGTGCATTCTTCTGACCTCTCTGGGTACTGCACTCACATGTACACACACCCTATACTGTCATATATAATTTAAAATAAAATGGTTTTAAGGTTTACATTATTTTATGTGTGTGGGTATTTTGCCTGCATGTATTCTGTGAATAACAAGTGTTCCTGGTGCCACAAAGGCTAGAAGAGGGTTCAGATTCCCTGGAACTGAAGTTTCTGAGCCATCATGTAGGCCCTGGGAATCAAACCAGGGTCCTCTGCAAGAACAGCAAGTGTACTTAATCGCTGACCCATCTTTTCAATCTCAAAAATAAAATAAATCTTAAAGAAAAAAGTGTTCAGAGACAAAGAAGTGAGAGATGGGTTTTAAATCCTGCTGGAACTGTCAATTTTTAGCACTTAGTGAGGTCACATCATAGCTGGCTATCCATCTGTAAGTATCTAGCACAAGTCTCCACTCCCAAGTCACGTGGGAAGATTCAGAGAGCTGTATGTACTTCACAGGGCTTGGTATTCACAAGTTGGGACCTTGGAGCCAGGGAGAATTAGCTGCTCCTGGTCCCAGTCTTTCATGTCTCCTTCTCCCCAGGACCTGTCTCTCAGAGTGACAGTGGCTGAGAGCAGCAGTGATGGCCGTGGGGACAACGTGGGACATGTCATCATTGGGCCAGCAGCCAGTGGCATGGGCACCACCCACTGGAACCAGATGCTGGCCACGCTGCGCAGACCTGTGTCCATGTGGCACCCAGTCCGGCGAAACTAGCAGCCAGGACAGGCCAGATGGGCAGCAGAGCCACCAGAGCCTGGCACCATCTCAGTTCTATCCAGTGATGCCCTCTTCATAGTCAGCTGGAGCTGTGAACACTGAGGCTGCCCCACCTCCTAGGGGTTCCTCAGCTTGGATCCTCTGTCCAGACTGTCAGGGAGGAATGGGTGTGGCTCTTCACCTGGGGACCTAGGGTAATTTCCCCACCAATGACTATCTGGAGCTGGCTGGGGACCCAGCAGAATGACCAACTGTGTACTAGAAAGCCTAATGAAGTATGGCCCTTAGCCTGCGGAGGCATATTGGCTTCAGAGCTGGCCAACCTCTCTCCTCAATCCCCTTAGAGGCCAGATGTTAGTAAGTCTTGAGGGGCTAGTCCCTGTACTGACAGGGCTAATGTTAACAAGACTAGCACCCAGGATGCCATGCCAGGAAGTCAAGATGGCCCTCTCCCATTCTGGTTGATCAGCGCAGTGCTAATCAAGTAATTGCCCAACCAGATGGACTTGGGAAGGAGCCCTGGGGTCTGGGGAGACTGGAAGAATCTCTCAGACAAGGAAGGAGCTGCACTTTGAAGGTTAGGGAGTAAATAGCACCCAGATTTAGCAGGGGGTAGTGGGAGTTGTGGTAAACAGTCAGACAATAGAAAGGACATGAACTAGCCTATCCCAAACACACATGCTCCCCACTGCGGTGGGGACAAGAAAAGGCCAGGAGACCAGGCCCAGCAGAAACCTGTAAGAAGCCACAGGGAAGCACTCCCAACCCTCCACCCTGAGGAAAACAGAAGTCCCCAGGGGCCCAGATCCAGGCCCTTGTGTTTGAATCCAGTGCAAATCAGTACAGATTGACCAACATTGGCTGGTGTCCCTTCAGGCCAGGCCTCTCTTGAAAGGAAGCAGGCCTAAATTCCCCCCTAGGAGTACTGGGCTTCTTGGGTCAAGTTCTCTAACCCTTAGCCTCAGTCTGGAACCAGTAGGAATTCTGGGGAAATGGTGTTCAGAAGCCAAAAGTCAGGCTGTATATCACTACCAGAATTGTTCATTAGCTGCCACCTGGTCAGAATTGGTGGGGGGTATCACATCCTTCCAGGTGTCATAATGTCTTTTGATAATGGCAATCCCAGAGAAGTGATGACTTTTGGCTTCTTCTCTCTGGCACCTGAAGATTTAAAAGGATAGTGGCCAAGGGGAGTGGTAAGAAGAGGGCCCAGGTAGGTGCCTCTAGTCCTTGGCCCTAATGAATCATAAATACTCAGATCTAATGAGGAACCATGGAGACTCAGGTCTAATCAATATCATCAATGGCAAGGAGAAGGATGGCTAGAACAGGGACACAGGTCATTAGGACACCTACTGGACCCTACTGAAGCCAGGTTTCTCAGCCTATGGCCAATATCAACTGGACCAGGGATGCTGGTGGCTGGGCCAGGCCTTGTCATCTGGAAGCCTCAGACTCTAATCCAGTGGCTTTGCAGGGCAGACTACATCCCCCAACTTCCATCCCCTTGTCCTTCCTTCTATACTGCATGAAATGTTGACACTGTGCTCGGATGACTGGTGGTGACCAAGAGTGCTGGCTGGAATGATTCTTGAACCAAAATAAAGCTGGAGCAGGAAGGGGGCTTACAAGGAGCCCTGCTCAGCCTAGAGTCATTTTACTATCTTCACTGGGAATCTTCTTAGACCTTGGGCCCCACAGGGTTACTGCGTGCTGTCCTTCCCACACTGCTGGCGGCTTGGGGGTGGGGGTGGCAGCGTGGGGTGGGGCTATTATGGATCTATTTGGAAGGCTCTGAAGAGAGGACCCGGGTACCAGTCCTGGTAGGGAAAGGTGGGGATGGGGAAATCAAGGAAGGCTTCCTAGTAGGGGCACTTAGTTGAATATTCAACATGTAAAGCAGGGAAAGCATTCCTAGTAGAGAACACATTAGAAGAGGGCAAGAAGGGTTCTCTGCCTTGCTAGTTCAGGTGGAGGGGAGGGAAGATCAAGGAGGCAGAGCATCTGCCAGAGAGGGATAAATCTTCTTTACAAAGCCTTTGAGAACTGGTATTCAGCCTGCAGGCCAGATGTCCTGAAAAGCAGGCTTTGTAGAGATGTAGAAACCAGAGGGCAGAGAAGTTAAGTAACAGCCAGAAAGTCAGTTACGATTAAGTTCATGCTATAGGGTTCAAAAGCCCATGCTCTTCAACCTGAGGACACACTGCCATTTTTCCAACTCCTCGGAAGTCACTGAAGGGTACCTGAGGAGCTCACAAGCTAGATAAGAATTCCCAGAATCTTGGGGCTAGAGAGATGACTCAGAAGTTAAGAGCATTAACTATTCTTCCAGAGGTCTTGAGTTCATGTACCAGCAAGGACATGGTGGCTCACAACCATCTCTAATGAGATCTAGTGCCCTCTTCTGTATACATAATAAATAGGGGAAAAAATTCCTGGCATCTCAGTTAGGGATCCATAGGGCAGATCTGAGTCTATGCATTGTATGCATGTATGGAATTCTCAAGAACAAAACATTTTTTATCATTTCCCCCACCACCCACCCACACATAGGGTTTTTCTGTATAGACTTGGCTGTCCTGGAACTCTCTCTGTAGACCAGACTGGTCTAGGACATAGAAATCTGCCTGCCTCTGCCTCTCAAGCTCTGAGATTAAAGGCATATGCAGCCACCGCTGCCACCACCCCCTAACTCAAGAATAAAGAAATGCTTAAATTCCTAGCATTCCCAGTAGATCACAGGACACAGACCACATACTGACTGGTGTCGAATATCTGGAGAACTGTAGCCTGGTAGAGACTTGAGAGGCAAAGGGAGATGGAGGCTCCCAGCATCCCAGGTGAGCTAGAAGGTCCTTGTTCTGCTGGCAGGCTTAGAGAAACAGCAGGTCCCAGGATGGGCTGAGGACCAGGAAAAGAAGTGAACAAGCATAATTGTAGGCAGAGAGGGGCAGAGAGGCAGGTCGCTCAATTATCTCTAGGAGTTCGTTAAAGAGCACTCAAAATGAGGGGTACTCGGGGCTAGAGAGATGGTTCAGAGGTTGAGAGCACTTGCAGCTCTAACAGATGACCCAGGTTCAGTTTCCAGCACCCACATTGTGGGCTCACAACAATCTGTAACTCCACTTCCAGAGGATCTGGAGCCCTCCTTTTCCCTCCAGGTCATGCATGTGATCCACCTATACATTCAGGCAAAACACTAATACACATAAAGTACAATAGATAAAGTCTTTAAAAAACAAAAAACAAATCAGAGGTACTACTGGAGAGAAGCAGGGTGGCTGCAGCTGGCAGAGGCAGTGCTAGCATCCTCCATCTTCTTTATGACTCTTCACCTGTCCCCATCCCTCTGACCCTCCCCCCAGCTCTCATCCTCCCCCACCCTTTCCTCTTTCCTATTCCTCCCGCCCAGGTCTATGGGCCTGCCTTCAGAGTCTGGGGCCTATGTCTCTGAGAACTCACCCAAGAGGAAAGATGTCAGTAGCTGACACAGTATTGCTAGAGGGAGGCTGGCCCATAGGCAGAGGAGAACTGGTGACAGCAGCTCTTACCCCTCCCTTCTCTCCCCTGCCTGAGCCCACCCATCTGTGCCTGCAGATACCCAAAGTGAGTTAATTGGGGGCTAACTGGATGCTGAGATGGGGCTACAGTGCTCCCTCCCTGTTGTTCATTTCCCTAATTACTGGCTCACACTTCCTAGCAGGGAAGCCAGACAGTAGAAGGGAAGGGGAGGAGCCAAGCAGGAGGCCGTGCAACTGGAAGCTGGACTCCCACAGAAGGATGATTGGGGGTGAGGGGCACCTTCTGGATCCTCCTGGACATAGGCCTGGGACTACTTACCTACTCTCAGGGCCTCAGTTTCTCCAACTGAAAAATGAAGAGTGTTGGACAAGACGGCCCATAAAAGGTTCCTCACACCCCTGACTTTATTTTTTAATTTAAATTTTAAAATTTTATATGTAAAATGAGTATTTTGCATGAATGTATTGTACCACTGTGTGCTCAGTGTCCACAGAGGTCAAAAGAAGGATAGTATACCCTGAGACTGGATTACAGAGGGTAGGCTGTGAGCTACCTTCTGGTGCTAGAAACAAAACCAAGGTCCTTTGCAAGAGCAACAGTGCTGTTAGCCGCTGAGCCATCTCTCCACTTGCCCCTGCCCTTTTATTTGGAGGCAGGGCCTCACAGCTCCTGGACTGGTCTCAAATTCACCAGGTAGGTAAGGACAACACCGAACTCCCGTCTCTCCTGCCCCCCTCCCAAGTGCTAGGATTACAGGCATTGCCACCTCCCTGGCATAATTTCTGAGGGTTCTGTATGGACAAACTCTGGAACTCAGTGTCCAGATTTAACTGCCAACTGAACCTTGGCTAAATTATCTCTGTCGTTGGGCCTCCTTTTCTTCATTTTTCAAAGGTGCATAGGAATCATATGTACTTCAACGGGCAGAATGAAATGGCATGTGCCAAATGCCAGGCCCGCAGTATGTGTTCGGTTTATGTGGGGTCAAAGTTTTGAGTGGCACAGTCCAGTCTGAGTCCAAGGATTTCTGGGATCTGATGGTTGGGACTAAAGAGGAGGGGCATAAAGTGTATATAACAAAGGCTTGGAGAACTGCACCCCAGGTCATACTGCTAAGGCTCCCCAAAGGCAAGGCCATATGTACACAATGCCAGGAACCCCAGGGAAAAGCCCTGGTAATGACCTGCAGGGAGCAGAGTGGCCACACAGTGGCAGCAAAGAGTTAAAACAGCCTGAGCTGCCTAGCTGCAGGGAAGGGACCAAAAAATGGGGTTAAAAATTAGGGGGTTTATCCTTGCAGTAAGCAGAGGCTGCAGAATATACTCCACCTCTGGTCACAGTTATATGTACTTATCCTTCATCTCTTCTTTATTTATGTTTGAGGCTGGTCTCACTATGTAACCCTGTCTAGCTTGGAAGATGCTATGTAGATCAGACTGGCCTTGAGCGCACAGAGAACCAACTGCCCGCTTCCCGGGCACTAGAGTTACAGGTACGTACAACACTCAGCCGTTTGGCCAGTTTGTTTTTTCAATCCCCTCTTTCCTTCCTTCCCTTCTTCCTTCCCCCCTCTCTCCTTTCCTCCCTCTTTTCTTCATTCTATCCTTTTCTTTTTCTTCCTGTGTTTGTCCAGCCAGGCTGTCAATTAGACATAATATCCGGAACCACAGCTGGCGCCAGTCTGTGATAGTCTGGGGTACAGAAATGGGTCCGCTGTGTTCCCTGCTCTTGAGGTGGTCATGGCTCTGCTGAAGACCTGCATCACCAAGAACAACATTCCAGACAGACGCTGGCCCCACCCCTGCTGCAGTTCTGAGGTCTGCAGGGCAGTCACATGCCACACAGGCTTCATAAAGAATTCTGGGCTCGGGATTGATGGGGCCTGGAGGGGGTTGAGTCACCCTCAGGCCGGAAGTCAGCAGCAGCTACAGTAAACAGAAAAACAGCAAACAGCACCCTGGTGAGGCCAACTGTGTGGCCTGGGCCACCTCCCCACTCCAAAAATAAACTTCAGAAAACAGTGCAGTCCAGAGTCCAGTAATGTCAGATTTGGGAAAATTCCTGGCCACCAGGGCAGATGGCCATGGGTCAATGACTGACTGACTGATATGCCTCTTTCAGGGGCCTGAGCATAGAGTGTCGGTGAGGCTGGGCCAGACATGGGGAAGACCAAGTCTGGCTCTGGGTCTTAGTGACTTAATCTAAACAGCAACCTCCCCCTGGGGTTCAGTTCTCATCCACTGAGCCTACCTCACAGTGTGAGAACTGAGAGCAATAATGCACAAGACATAATATTTGGGGGCAGCTTTAGCGTCTCACCTGGGTCCGTGTGCCATTGGCCTCTTAAGTATTATTGGAGCTTAAACAAGAAGTTACAGTTTTTGCTGGGCGGCGGTGGCACACACCTTTAGCCCCAGCACTCAGGAGATAGAGGCAGGCGGATCTCTGTGAGTTGGAGACCAGCCTGGTCGACAAGAGCTAGTTCAAGCCTCTGAAGCCACGGAGAAACCCTATCTCAAAAAAGAAAAAAAGAAAAAAAAGTTACACTCTCCCAGGCCTCGGTTTTCACCTCTGTAGAATGGAGCTAGCAACCCCTGCCTCCTGGTGGACAGTCTCTGCATAGCAGCTACCACCCATCAGTGGGTGCTGTTATTATTAGGAGGTAGACAGAGAAACTGTAGTGTGACAGTTGTCAAGTGTGTCATTAGAGTGATTATCCCTATAGCAACAAAGGCCAACCGCCCCTGCCTGACTCTCAGCTTCCTCCACCCTTGGTCTGGCTCCACCTGCCTCCCAGGCTGGCCTGGTGACAGCAGCGGCAGGGATGACTAGGTTGACAACTGACTGGAATGGGGGGAGCAGGGCCCCTCCTCACCACTCCTTAGATGGAGCATGCTGCTCAGCTACACACCCAGTCTCGTGCCATGTCCTGCCCAGCCCTGTGGCAGTTTCGGGGAAGGGGCATCCAAAAGGTGGAGCTGTCCTGGGGAGGTTCCCTCCATGCAGCTGACCTCTGGCCACCGCCCTGAGGGAAACTGGAAACTGCCTCCTTGGGACACAATGAGGACCAAGAGGGTTGAAGGTTCTTTTCACCTGATTTTGAATACCATAGGAGGTGACATCACCTCC